AAGCCTCCGCGCGTCGCTTCTGGGGTACGCCCTAGCGTTGTTCGATGATGTGACTGTTCGATCCATAGTTGCGACTCGAGATGACCAGCCGACCTGTCGCGCGAGCCTGACGCTGGTGGAGCGGGCTAGATAAATGGTATGTGCTAAATCCTTGCAAAGAATCGGAAGTCAAGTAGAAGTCAACCGGTTTCAGAAAGAATAAATTGCATGTATTGCTTCCCTGATCATATTGGAATAATACAATTTTCGCAGCTACTTTGAAATATAATCTCCGATGATGAAGAATTTTAAAATGAATGCTCGGAAGGGAAAACGTGCGGATTTGAAGTCCCTTTCAACATTTTCAAGAAGCCATATTTTGCTTTTCTAGATTTCAGACAGTGCGACCCTTCAGAGAAACGAGTTAGTCAACAGGGAAGGGTAGCCGCAACATCATCCGTACAATGGCGCATCCTATGACGCAATCCAAATCCTATGATGCTTCCCCCAACCTTAGAACAGAATCGGTGGCATGAAACTCGTCTCTATGGAGAATAGGATAGGATACGGCCCCTCAAAAAATTCGGTCTGTGCTGCTTAAAAGCTCGTGTAGATTCAGCCGCGAGTTGGTACAATCAAATATACACGCACCATTAATGGGAAACAGTGAAACAAAAGGTAAGAACCACATAGCAAGTTGAGATTGTGGCCTAAAACTACACCCTAAAAAACGGAAACCGACTTCCTTTGGCAGGCTGCTCATTTTCTAGCTTACTATTTTCTTCATTCACTCCCTAGAATCACTTGGTTCTAGCGTTTCTTTCAGCTGCAGTATAAGGATGAAGGTATGAGAGCATTATTGGGCTAGTCACTGTGAGTAACATTGATTTAACGAATTCGTGTAAGTGGTCAAGTTTTTGTTAATTGAAAGGTCTAATCGAGCAATCACCTGTCGAAGGTGTCTGTATTATAGAAACGTTCAATTTGAACGGATGGGGCTTGTCGAAAACCTTTTTTTTTCAAAAGTCGCACATGTGCGTGATGAAAAAATGAATGCAAATGGATTGATGGTGGGGGAAGAGCAGCTCGGAACTTACCCCTAAATGATTCTGAGCAAAAAGGAAAGTAGCACGCTCAATCGTGACGTCAACAATGGAGAACTCCGCTGATCGCTCAACGACGACGATTCTCAATAGGCTCCCCCACTTTCTTCACGATTTGGGGCGCGGCCGCGGCGAGCGCGGACGAGTTGGTAGTGCCCGCGAACTGTGCGGGTAGGTTTGAAAACACTCCATCAGCACAGTTCGCGGGCACTATCAACTCGGCCACGCTCCAACTCGTGAAGAACGTGGGGGAGCCATCTCAATTGGAATAAAACTATAGATTAATATAGATGATATAAAACTATACAAGTGTTGCCTTTGTTCTACATAGGATCTCTATCCGCTGAGGGGATGACTATGGAACATCTGACGACCAACTTGTCCAAATGGTGGAGTAATAAGAAAACAAATCGCTAACGAAAACGACGTAGCCAAAATTATCTGATATCAGCAGGGGGCCGAAACTCATTATACGAGGCTCAACCACTTCCTAACAGCTCCTAATAACCTTTCATCTAATTAAGCGTCAGAACCAAATGATTTTGAAGGGAGGATGAAGCAAGGTGTGAGAAGATAAAGACATGAAAAATAAAATTGATGGACTTACAGACAGAAACTTGTTCAAACGCAGCCTAATCCAATTGAGTGCAGAGCATCAAACAGTATACGCCATTCCACTTATAAAAACAATATAACTCATAAACAAATGAGGACGCGAACCGGTACACAAGCCGATTTCACCAGTCCGATGAGTGACCGTAATCCACGTTGGCACTGGAGCGCGCAGCTACTACTGCTGTGTACCCACACGTTTCAGCACCAACGTGAGAGGGTATAGCGCCTCGCTGGCGAGTGCACAATACCCCCTCCACCACAGCCGCCCTTGGGCGACTATCCAAAAATACACGCAGCGCTCACACACGCAGCGCCCGCCTGACCGTTCTGGCGGTGAGGCTACGCGCTTTGCTGGCAGGGCAAGGGAGACAAGCTCCAGAGTGTCGCCAAACCCGCTGCCGGCAAATTCGACTACCTGCCATCCTCCACCTGTATAGAGCACAGACGCTCCGTACAACAAAAACGTCCACTTTGTCGCCGTGAGTGCGCGGAAAAACGACAAAAGGGCACGTCGAATTCAAACGATGACACGTGGCATCGCGCGCCAACCAGTCACGGGTTACGGTTGCGGTCACTCACCGGACTTCGCAATCTCTCTAATATGAAATACCAGCCCCGTAGTATTATAGCAATCGTTTACACGCTATCAATCTCCCGCGCTCCCTCGTATTCCTCCTATATTTGATTTAGTATTTCCTTGTTCTCGCTTTACTACGTCATCTTATCATTTCTTTTGCAAGACCTTTTTGGCATGCGGCTCCCTTTCTGCTATTTCACTACTTTTGATACGTTGTTCAGTTCTGAGCCTATTTCATTTGCAATGTCGTTGTTACGTATTCCATTTCTGATGCCGCTCCTTCGATGTCACTTGATTTTGTGGCTTCGCTGCCGGTTTCTATCCTTCCTCAGAACCTCATAATTGCCGTTCCGATAATCAGTTGAAGTATTCTTGAGATGATCGATCTAGAATCTCAGAAGCACTCCTTTCACCAAAAGGGAAGAAGTCATGATTTTTACATCCTCTTGCATCTCGGTAATAATTTTGTTCAGGGTCAACCGTCACGTTCGAACACTTTCGGGATTTTTGCGACCCCTCCCTCTCGAGGGGGTCCGGTTGTTGCCCCCTTTTTTCGTAATGAAAGTGCTAAGTGTGTTTTTGGTACTAAGTGTGCTGTGAAATATTTATCTCACTTATAGACAATGAACTTCATTCATGTGAAGATTGGATTTTTTTTTCAAAAATTCAAAGTTCTCAACTGTGGCTGCTCCAAGGAATATTGCTGTGGCTGCTCCAGGGTATACGGTGCCGTCGTGATATTCTGTCTCCTCACACATTGATAGCGTCGCCTGACGCGGATCTTAAGAAATTTTTATCAAATATATTAATTTATAGTTGTATTCAAGAGTAATAAAATTATAAAGGATTTTCATCAACAACTCACCACAATCACTACGTTTAGGCCCAAAACGCAAACAATGTGACGGTTGGCCTCTGGCAGAATGCCTTGTAGTGTATACTTATGCCACGCGGGCGTT